TTAGATGATTTTAGCCAGAAATATTTTTTTACAAAGAATACACTGACGTGACAGGTCCTCCAAGGAGGGAATCTCTTAAATTTACTACCCCAGTGCGTTTTCCTCCCTGCTTACCACTGAAAAATCCACTCGCAGACTGGGATAAAACGATCCTACGTAGAGGATTGGAGAGTCGCTGAGGATGGGTTAGCTATATGTATCTTCCCTCGAGTATTTCCAAATACCTAGCGCAGATGGCAACATATCTCTAAAAGGGACCTTTCCATCTGCTGCTCTTTTTAAGATTACTATTCAGAGAATATCAATCGCTAAATCTATGAATATCTATGCTTGCATATACATAGGTTCATGGTCTTGATACAAGGAAGATTTAAAAGTGCATGGAGCACAAAGGGGTGACCATAGGTAGCTTTCCGGACATAGGGAGGGCGTTCGAGAAAACGCACAGACAGTTTCGCGCGACACAAAAGGGTAACCTTACCACATTCCGTTGGGTAGCAGACGTCCTTAAATCAAGGATCGCCACATCTACTCTAGAACAGGAAAGAGTCAGATGCGCACATAAAAAGGATGCCCCACGTCGCAATCTTAATACCTACCAATCTGACCTAATATTGGTTATATAAAGAGTACATTTCTATCTACGTAAGTGCAATCGCACCTACATCGTGAGCAACATCGCTTCACTTACCTCGGTCATCGCGGCACTGGAGTGCTGCTTCTGTATCAAAATATACCGCACTGCAGAGATTTCGTCGCGCAACTTGCCCATTGTTCGCAATTGCGAATCAACCGCCTATGAAAAGTAGTGAACAGTAAAATCGTATTTAGCTAGTTTTCACTCTTCTAAGTCGACTCACCAGCGATAAACGATCCCCTTTATGGGCGAAAGTCTTCCTAACCACTTCCTCAAGNTTAACCTCTTGTTCTCTGGCAAGCATAAGATCGAGTTTGGTTGTGGCTTCTTTGAATCTTTCCATTTCGTAATTTATTGTATCTGGCGGATCCTCAGTAAAAACACGATATTGGCCCTTGCGGTAGAAATACTCAACAACGCGGCGATTAAGATAGGTGCGCGATTTCTGCTCTGCTTCAAGCTCTGCTAATTTTTGCACAATCTCGGCAATTAATGCAGCTTTATCAAGATTCTGACGCAATAAAACTTTTGGATCGACATATTCAACTTTGTCTACCGCATGCTTTATGAGCTCCTTTAGAAACACAAGCGTATCTGTCGCTATGTTGTTTAGTTCCTTCTTACGTTCATAAGCTACCCAATCGAATTCGACCACATCGACCACAACGCGATCTTTTTCCATTTCCAAAAATGTTTCAAATACTTCTGTGTCATCCAAAGGCTTCGGCGCTTCGATTTCTTGATCGGCTTTTAGTAATTCAAGCAACTCTTCGTCTTCCGAAAAATCAATGTCTTCCGATTTAGAA